GTTCCCGCCCCCCACCAGGATAAATAAAGACACCAGACACCATAATTAAGGTTAATTGGGCGAATTAGGCCACAACTTTATTGAGTTCAGGAATGAGAGGCATTGGCTTAGGCATTGGTCCTATCGACTATCCGGCTCCAGCCCAATTGCTGGAGACACGGGGAAGGGTTAACACTATATCGGGGAGTCTCCTGCCGAGGCACGTCGACTAGGAGCTCCCCGGGTCACCGCTCTGGGGCGTGCCTTTGGCCCTCACCTCCATAGGCTTCGGACAGGGCCACGCCCCCCCGGAGTCCTTTAACGGACCACCCTTCGTTCACTGGGGGGAGGTGATGGCGCTCCTCCCCCCCCCACACATCCTCTTAACCCCTTCTTACCAATGCCTACCGCCAATGCCGAAGAGTTGTGACGAGTTGCTACGAGGTAGGCGAAAACCAAAAGGCTGTAAATTGCCAATTGGGAAAAATTCCTACCATGCCCCTTGCGGCGACAGACTGAAGTCCATAGCAAAGTCAGAAACCTGCCTAAAACCTACCTAGAGGGAGGGAGGGTGGGAAAACGTGAGGGCTAGCCGGCAAAGAGAGGGCGAGCCCCTCCGTGCCGGCCCTAAATAGCCCAGGCCACGCCCCCCCAGCCAGCCGATTGGCTGGCTGGGGGGGCACACCCGGCCGGGATTCCCCTGTTCTCGCGGGGGCTGAAACCAGCCCCCGCTCACGTGGGGTGGGCGTGAAGCCCGCAACCCCACCTCCTGGGCAAGCCGGAAGTGGCTTTGCGTGGCGAGTTCCCGCCCCCCACCAGGATAAATAAAGACACCAGACACCATAATTAAGGTTAATTGGGCGAATTAGGCCACAACTTTATTGAGTTCAGGAATGAGAGGCATTGGCTTAGGCATTGGTCCTATCGACTATCCGGCTCCAGCCCAATTGCTGGAGACACGGGGAAGGGTTAACACTATATCGGGAGTCTCCTGCCGAGGCACGTCGACTAGGAGCTCCCGGGTCACCGCTCTGGGGCGTGCCTTTGGCCCTCACCTCCATAGGCTTCGGACAGGGCCACGCCCCCCGGAGTCCTTTAACGGACCACCCTTCGTTCACTGGGGGGAGGTGATGGCGCTCCTCCCCCCCCACACATCCTCTTAACCCCTT